CCCCCCCCAATCCCACTGCATGAGGGAAGCTCCTAGTAATTGCAGGAAGAAGCGAGAAACTTCAGGGTCAGGTAGCTTGCCACCTCTACCTGATGCTTTACTAGAAGAAAATGTAGCAGGAGAGTCAAGTGCAGGAGCTGCAGCAAATTAGGCTCAGTGGCAGCAGTCAAGAGTTGCAGGATGAAAGCAAAATATGGCCCATTTGTCTGGAAGTCTCTTTGGGGTTCAGTGGTATGAATGGTACTCTAAAAATGTAATATGTTGTTACATGCTGTTAGAGAAAGATTCAGCTTGGCATGCATTAGAGCAAGTGGCTATGACAACTGAACTGTGTATTTAAAGAGTGTGCTGTTAGGACCCCTCTCTTGTGTTCACTTACCTTGTATTTTTGCTTATTACTGTTGGTGATGGACAGTGATGTAAAGGTTAGTCTTCACAGCAGATAATCTTCATGGGTTTTTGTCATAGCCATACCTTGCCTCCTCACCGATTCTTCCGCCGCCCCGTTCTTGTGCCTAAATAATCTACTCTCACCATGCACATGTTGTTGAGTCTGATAATTGAAGCAGGCCCACAGGTGACTCCCACACCAGACTTCCAGTGTTCGGCCATCGTGGCAACCTTGTTATTCTACTTGGTTTTCAAATGCCACATCATCACACTGAGAAGCTCACTCTCTCTCTTGTAATCTTTATTTTTTTTTTCCCCTGTAGAGCATGATGAGTGTGGCAGTGAGCAGCATAACTGTGATGAGAATGCAATCTGTACTAACACTGTCAGGGGACATAGCTGCACCTGCAAACCTGGATATGTGGGGAACGGGACCATCTGCCGAGGTAAGTCTGTTACTCCAGAAACACTGTAGAAGTGGCAGACTCTATTAATATTTTCTGACAGTCACCTACGTTCTGGTAACTTGTGATGGCTGGATTCTGTCAATGATACACTGTAAGATTTATCATCTGGCAAACGGAGTATGCATGGAGATGATGGGAATAGATTTGTGCATAACTTCTCGGCAAGAAGGAAATATTTTTGGAATGCTAGAAGAAAAGTACTTTCCAGTTACTGTCATTTGAGCAAGTATCATTCAGCCTTTAAGTGGCGTTCATTGTTTTATACTATCACCTTTGGCTTTTAAAATTTAATCAGATGCCTTTTAATTTAGGATAATTGTCTTTTGTACTAGCATCATATGGTTGTTCTTTGACTACTCTCATCAGAAAAGTTGGGTTTTGTTTTGTTTTGTTTTTTTTAATCTTTACCTTTAAACATGTATTTTGAAGATTTCTCAGTTATGTAAACAAGAAATACTGATAGCCAGCAATGCTTCTTGTGAAGTGGTAAGTCATTTATTGAGGGTGGGTTTTTTTGGTTTTGTTTCTGTAGAGAAAGAGAAGCAAGTATGTTATATAAAGATGGAGGAGTGAATGTATTAACTAGTTGGCTTAGTGAGGGCTATGTCATGAAGTACTATTGAGTTGTAACTCATACATTCATCAATTTTGTCTCATAAAAAGCTATTTTTTGTCTTTTCTGGGACTGTACACTTTCTAAACAGAATTGCGGTAATAGAAAACTAACTTTTAATTGTTTTGAAAGGACAACTATTGAAATTGAGGAGTGTACTGGGTAAAATATTCAGTACCTAGTTTGGGGGCACAAGAGGCTGGATAATAATTTTCCACAATGTTGTAAATTGGCCAAGCGGTTCCTTAAAGGAGAATGAAGATTGATGTCATTCTTGTTTCAAGCTGAAGTTCTTCACCAAGATAAGCCTGTCATCTACTGAATTAGCATATACCATCTGATTGCTTTTTAATATGACTTTCTTTGGGTATTGTCCATCTGCACAAGAGCATCCCTGTATTTTAAAACTGTGAAATGGTTAGTAAGGATTTAAGAAGGAATACAAAAATGTTATGAAAATAGTGAGCAAGTTAAACCTTGGTCTGTCAATATTGAAGATGAAGAGGTGATACTGGGGAGACCTCATTGTAGTGTCTTTTCAGTCTTTGATTACAGTGAATGTAAATTGCAGCATAGGCAACTGTAGTTTCAGGGAAGCCTGAGTGAATAGCCTGTCTCTGTTTGACTGTTTGGTTTTGTTTTTTCCCTGAGGGTAATACAAAAAGACAAACCCTTAATCATATGTCTTTGAAAGAGCAATGTTTGGATTAGTTCATAAAAATTGTGTTTTCACACTGGTTTTCTTCGTTTGCACACCTGGATATTTGGTTTAATGTGCCAAAACCTCCAAGCGAAACTCCTACTGCATATTTATTAATCTAGTAATGTTGAAGTAATGAAATTGCACTGGAGAAATGCAATAATGTTTTTACCCTCAAAGTTCTCTTGAAATCTGAGTCGTGGATAAAATGTTACGTGTATTTTTTAGTACGCCTTGAATTGCACACATGAACATAGTTATAGTTGCCTTTTTGAGATAGGTGTATGTGGAAATAGAGGAAACAAGGTGCGTTCTTCTATTCTGTCTGGGACGCATAAATTGAAAAGAAAACTGGAGTTTATAGGAAAGTGGTTTGCAGTCTAAGAATTATTAAAAGTCACTAGGGATAAGAATAATCTGTCACCACCTGGAATAGTTACTCTCCAAACCAGCTAGTATTAGAATTGTGTGCATTTTAGTAAATAGTAGAACAGTCAATGTAAAGTAGTGATCTGAGTTTCTCAGCCTGTGGTTCTGTGGTCACTTGAGATTTTTACAAGTCTGCACAGCTAATTTCATAAACGTTCCCATTCTACTCGTGGTAGCACCAGAAACATTGCTTTTGCCTCTTTTTTTTTTTTTTTTTTTTTTTTTTTAAACCAAGTTTAACGGTGATACATGGAGTGGAATGTGGCTAAAAATGAACAGATAACAGAAAAATGACCAGTTTCCAGTCCCATAGGTTTCATTGCACAAGTGCTAGGGTTGGCACAAGGAAAGAGAGGTGTGAACGTGTCAGGACAACTGTAAACGGCTTATGTTGTCTTGTCGTAATTTGGGGGCTTTATCTTCAGGCGATAGGAACTGGAAAAAATAGATATAAGCCAAGATGATAAGTTTAATGTAACGTTATCTGAAGATATGACAAACATTTCTCTTGAGTCATCTCTAAGTGCTTTGTAAGTGTTTACATGTTATAGATGTGTACATACATAAAACAGTTTTTCCAGCTACTACTGAAATCATATCTCTGTAGTTCAATAAGAAATCTTATTAATATTGTCCAGAAAAACCATAAATAGAGAACTGATAATTTTATGATGAGAGAAAAGGACTGTCTTTGTGCCCAATTCTACAATCTATTTGAACAATCTATTTTAGCAATGTTATAAAAAATAAAATCAGAGTAATGTTCCTCTTTGACTTTACTGGATAACATTGAGATAGTTGTTATAAAAAAACCCAGAATACTGTTATTTGTATTTTAGAAAAGAAAACGTATGTGTAGTTAAATTAAATTGCATGGTGAACTACTGGCAAATATAATGAAATTACTCTGGCAGGAATTTGTGATGTTTGCATTTTTTGTGAAAAGTATGGAGAAATAAAAAAAGAGATAATCTGGATATGAATATTATGATTGCTGGGGATTTAGAAATAAAAACAAAAAACAGATGTTGAAGAGGAAAGCAAATATATTTTTAAAAACTGTATAATCAGGCTGTCACACTTCTTGAGTAGAAAAATAAATTTCATGCATAAGGAATTGCTTTACTGTAAACGTGGTAGACTAGGCTATGTAATTAAGGACTGGATTGTGTCAAACTAGATGTGGAAACTGTCATGAAGGAAGGTGGTGGAAAAGGGTGCAAACCGAGACCAAATGCACTTCTGCATTAAAATAGATACTGCTATAGTTGAAGTGACATAAAAATGGAAAGAGAAGTGGAGATGAACACAAGAAAATCTTCATAAATACGTAGTTACCTAATGTAGACAGTGAGACTGTATAACAGAATAGAGACAAATAAGACTTATTTCCTGTGGATGCTCTCAATTTCACTGTAAGAAGTGGGCTTTAGCACCTCAGAAAGACACTGAAATTTTGGCAATAGATCGGAACAGAATAAGGCTGAGGTGAGCTGAAATAACAAGGCAGGACAATGCTGGGCCATCGCCATTAGTAAATTTGACAGAGTGCTGGACCCAGAATCAGATAGATTGTATCTTAGGATTTCTTCAGAAAATGAAAAGTAAAATAGGGACGTCTTTGGAAGAAATTACACCATTAAAGGCAGAGGACAGAGGTATAACTAGGTGAAGAGAGAGAGATTCTGAATCTACGCATTTGTTAAGTTGCTCTTTTCTATGAAAGAAACTTTGAAAAAATTCAAAAGAAGTAAGAGTGATTCAGGAAATAAAAGAAGTTGTAGGTGGGTAATGGGAGACTCATGCTACACCTGCTTACAGGAATTCTGTAAATGAATTACAGAATTCATAGGTGAGGGTGTGAAATAAGGACAACTGTAGCAATTTCACTAAACTTCAGGATATTATTTAATAGTGCAGCATAAAGGCAATTAACTTAGGGTAGAAAGGAAAGGTGATAAAAATTGGTTTAGCAACTGAATGTTCTAGTTAAAAAATGTGGTTTAACCCCAGCCATCAACCGAGCCGCACACAGCTGCTCGCTCCCCCTCCCGGTGGGATGGGGGAGAGAATTGGAAGAGTAAAAGTCAGAAAACTCATGGGTTGAGATAAAGACAGTTTAACAGGGAAAGCAAAAGCCGCGTATGCAAGCAAAGCAAGGAATTCATTCACTGCTTCCCATCGGCAGGCAGGTGTTGAGCCATTCCCCAGGAAAGCAGGGCTCCGTCACGCGACGCGGCATAGCCCTTTGGCCAGTCTGGGTCAGTTGTCCCAGCTGTGCCCCCTCCCAGCTTCTTGTGCACCTGAGAGAGCATGGGAAGCTGAAAAGTCCTTGACTAGCACAAACACTGCTTGGCAACAACTAAACCGTCAGTGTATTGTCAACATTATTCTCATGCTAAATCAAAAACATTGTACTATACCAGCTACTAAGAAGAAAATCAACTCTATCCCAGCTGAAACCAGCACCAAAAAAAAAGATGTGGTGAGCAAATGACTACCTCGTACAACATGGCACTTTGCGGTGTGCCTGTCAGGATGGACCTTGTGGGAAATCAGTGTTTAGTGGCAATGGTTAGATGAAAGAAGTCTTCGTTTCCTAGGACAACCAGGTTTATGTATAACCCATCACCTGTAGACAAGGCTGAGTGTGTGAGAGTAAAACTCTGTCATGTATAAAATGAGTAAAACTCACTGTCATGACTCTAGCTGAAGAACTAGGGATATTAGATACAGAGATAAATACCGCGTTTAGACTATAGAGCCTCGTGGTCTGTGAACTATTGCAGTGTTTCTGTGTGAAATCTTGGCAGGGCTTGAATCTGGGAGGCTGGAAAATGTGTACAGGGAAAACGTCTTTCTCTGCTTTTTGTCTTGGTAAGTTCCAGTTCTACTTGGCAGCCTTGCACCGCATGCTGGGGAAGTGACATGTTGAAATGGAATGTGTCATTTGTTAAAACATAAAGGACCTTGTGCTCCACCATCAACTTTACCTTAGCGAGATGGAAGCTAGAGAACATTTGCTGTAGGATGTACAGTCCTACAGTTTAGCAGAAGTTTATTATAGAGCTTGTGCCTTGTACCACTGACTGAAGTCAAGGAAGACTGAGCCAAGGTACATTGAAACATCAGCACGTTTCCTAAAATAATTGATGACATTTGGGATTAAATGCCTTAAAACAAACTAACGAAACCCCACCCACCAGATTTTGTAGGGGCTGTAGATCAGAGTTTTCA